TCTGTTTCTCGAGAGAGAAGCAGGTCGCAATTTGTTATTCGCCTCCTTCGCCAGGAGATGCAGGACTTCTATCTCCAAGCCATCCCGAGGAAGGTCCCCAGGAAGGGAGGCACCTCCCTCCCATAAGAAAAAAACAACAACTGGCAGACTAAAACCCATAAAACTTAATCATTGCGTCGACCATTATAAAATGGAACTTTCCAAATCTTAGAGCTAGACTAAATGAACTTAAATTATTAGCCTTGTCCTATGCTCCAAGAAACGTACTTACCACACCTCGTCACTCACGAGGTCGTTCCACTGAAGAACTACCATTTATGTCGGGAGGACTGTGAGGGTAGGGGTGGAGGCGGAGTCGCCATGTACATACCAAAGCCTCATTTTTACTGAAGTGACTATTGATCCTACTTTGAAGTTTGTCGCATGCAATTAAAAATTAATGGCACATATCTGACTATATGTTCAGTTTATTGTCCATGGTGAGCTCTTTGCTTTTTAGGATTGTCTGTCACAAAATTAAATTTTAGGTGATTTTAATGCTCATTATACATTATGGAGTTCCTTACGGGTGGATGGTAGAGGTGAGCAAGTAGTTAAGTTGATTAATGATTCTGATCTGGTCCTGAACGATGGTAGGCGAACGCGGATGAACGATAATACCGGGAATTTGAGCTTTATTGACTTATCATTGGTCTCCTCATCAATAGCAGCCAAGTGCTTGTGGCACACCATTGACAACTTGTTGGGAAGCGATCACCTTCCTATTTTTATTGAATATTGATGTAACATAATAACCTAAATTGAACGTAAAAATAACAGATTGGGTCGCCTTCACAAGGAGCGTCAAGCTCGCACTTACTGGAGAAACCATTGATAATAGAGTAAACAATATTCAGAATTCGCAGCAATGATATCCATTCCTAAAACTTCCACAGATAACGTTAGGCACAGAGTTCCACGGTGGACACCAGATTGCCGCAGGGCGCTGTGTCAACGCAATAGAGCCTACAGGCTTTTCAGAAATAACATCAGTAATGAGAACTGCATTTATAAACAAGCAAGAGCTAAGGCTCATAGAATAATAAGACAAGCAAGAAGAACCTCCTGACGGAGCTTTTCCTCTGCAATCAATAGCAATACACCTATATCAGAGGTCAATAGAATAAATAAGGAAAAAAACATCTTTCAAGGTTAAAAATATCATTCACGAGAGTACCAATTTCGATTCACCTAGAAACATTGCTAATGGCTCTTAACAAACAGCTCAGAAAATTACCATCCCACATTCCTGACCACCAACTAAGCGACTGAGCTGCAACATATTCACTTTGCCACAGGAGATGACTTTGATTACAACCAAGATTTAACAATGAATGAGCTTGTCCGAGCCCTAAAAGCCTGTAGAGCAGTGGTTCCCAAACTGGGGGCCATGGCCCCCTGGGGGGCCATATAGCAGAATGTAGGGGGCCATAATCTTTTTTAATACTTAACAAAATAAAAAATAACAAATGGAATCAATAAAATTACAGGATTTGCTAGAGTGGTTTTTATATGGACCTAATGAGTGTAGGACTGTAGACAGTCACTGTAGTCACTGTGGGGGCCATGGACAAGGATCATGTATGAAAAGTGGGTAACGACCAGAAAAAGTTTGGGAACCACTGCTGTAGAGGAACATTCCCAGGCCCCGATGAGATTCAATATGAGATGATTTAGAAAAGCCACACTTTTCTGAACTCATGGCACTCCGCCCACATCATTCCCATATTGAAAGGAGGGGGAAATCCCAGAACCACCATCTCATACTGCCCAATTGCGCTGACAAGTTGCTTATGCAAGATCATGGAAGGAATTGTTGATAGTAGGTTAGTGCATTTTTTAAATACCAGACATTTGCCTGTTGACGAGCAGTGTGGCTTTCTGTAAGGGACGCCAAACTGTTGATCAACTAGTAAAGCTGGAATGTCATATTCAGAAGGTATTTGCCAAAAAGTATTTTTTGATTTCAGTATTCTTAGATATAGAAAAAGCCTACAACATGACATGGCGATATGGCCTACTCAGAAAACTTTATGCTTTTGGATTACATGAAAATTTGCCTTGTCTTATTCAAAATTTCATTTCTGACAGAACTTTTGCTGCCAAATTATTTTCTGACAATGTCACTTTTTTCGGGTAGTTTTGTCCTGGCAAATATATATTTAATGACATCTTACCAGCTCCCCCTCTGATTCTCAAATACTCACTATACGCCGATGATTGTGCGTTATGGCATTCCAACAATAATGCAGAATTCTCGGCAAATCGCATCCACCTGGCACTGGATATGATTCATAACTAGGGCCTGTAGTGGGGTTTTAAATATTTCACAAGAAAGGGTATTGGGGTGAGTTTTTTCACATAGGATAATGCCAAACATCAGGCAAATTGCTTTTGATAAAGCTTTAGATTTTGCACTATCGACGACCCACGATAGAATAGTCATTTTTTTCAGATTCAC